CTTATCAGCATCGATATATAGAAGAGTAGCTTCAGACTTTGCTATGGGTGAATACCGAACAGACAACGAAATTATTCTTATTTATTATTTAATTATCGATCCATCGAAAAGCATGGCGAGGCCAAGTGCATTGATCTCACACAAGAGTCGTATGCCATATGAGTGCGAAGTGCTAATTCCAATTGGAACAATATTTCGAGTTGAATCGATCCAATATACTAATGTAAGTCGACTAACTATTTTAATTCAGCTATGTAATATATTTATTTGCATGGAGAAATACCTGTATTGAACTATCTACAATCAGGCATATTTAACTGAGCGAATTAAAATTGTTAAATTCTACAAAGATCATTAAACCTGTTTTGTTTTTGATTTTGAATGAGTCTGTCCGGTTTTATGTGTAGTGAAATTATTAAGGCATTCTGTTAGCTCGAATCGTCGAGCGATAACTTTATTCGAGAAAAATATTTATCTCTATGTACACACCAAAGTAAACGAACGCACACACATATATAGGTATAGATAACAATGGAAAAAGATAGATATAACAGTAAGAGAGAGAAGAAAGAGAGAGAAGAATCGAGAAGATGGATCGAGACCTGTAACAATCCTCCCCTCTTATGAGATGTGTGTCCTCACACATTGATGTGTTGTAGTTGTTCTTCTAGTTGTTTACATTGAATAGTTAAATTTTCAAAATCTGTTGAAGTTGTTCATATTCATTATTGAGTTGTGATGTTGATGAAATAGAAGAAGTCTGTAATAATCGATCTTCTAAAATTGGCATTAATTGTTTAATTGAATCGATATTTATATTAAAACATGAATATAAACGTTTTATTTCTAATTTATAAGTATTTAATTCTAATTCTAATTGAAGTTTTTCATTATCTTTTATTTTTAATCATTGTAAATATTCTTGTTGTAAATTTTCTAATTTTTGTTGATATTGAAAAATAGAATTTTCTGTTGAATATTATCTTGATCTTGTTTCTTAATTAATTATAATTGTTTATAATCTTGACGTAATGATAATTCACGCTGTTCAAGACGTTCTTTTTCAATAAAATCGTCTTCAATTTGACGTAAATAATCCATTTTTTGAAAACATTCCACGTTGAATTGTTGATAATTGTGAACGTACTTAAACATTTTCCGAACGAAACATTTCAATTGTTGAACCTATTATGTTGATTTTCTTTAAGATCATTTGTTAATTTAATACGTTCCGTATCAAGAAGTTGAGAATTATTTTCTATATTATTAATTGACATTTCTAAACGTCGTTTCATAAGTATATGATTTTGTAAATCAACATTTAAATCAGCTACGTTTTCTTTTAATTCATTGATAATACAAATTTGAGATTTTGTATCAGTTTCTAAATTAGATATTTTACGTGTTAAATTTATATTTTTCTTTTTATTAATTCATATTTAATTTGTAATTGTTCAATAAAAAATTTTCTTCTAATGCTTTTCGTAATAAATCAATTTCCACTTGGTGATCATTAATATGTGTTTAAGTTTGATAATCTAAAGGTTCTTGTAAAAGAACACGTATTTCTTTGCGTAATGAATTAATATAATCTTGAAATAAATTTCGTTCTTTATCCCATTCAAGAAAAAATATATCATCTGTTATATCAGTATCAGATAATGTTAATTTTGTTTCACTTATATATTGATCTTCCATTGATGATGATTCAATATAACGTATAGATGAAATTTGATTAGAATCATTAAGTTCTTTTTGTATATGTGTTAATAATATTGAATCGGTTATAGATATTTCTGTTGTATTTTCAATAATAGTTGATAATGATGAAGAAAAACCCATTATTGTGTTATTAATCATTGTCGTGTTGATGTGAAAATTTTGTTCATGAACTTGATCTTATTTGATAAATCAATTATCCACCACATTGTAAAGATGTTGCATAAGTGAATGTTGTTGACCATGCAGAGGTGATAATGACTTCGAACGAATAATAATGAGTTATTTCATTGGACGATTTTTCCCATGAATCAATAAAATTCATATTGATGTTAATAATCTAAACAGAAAGATACATAATTATAATTGTTTAAAATTTGATTATGCTCATTTGTTTCTTGTTGTCGTATCCTTTATTGTCGCTGTTGTAGTTGCTTATTTTTTAATTGTTCATTTATGTATTTCGTCGATTTTTTTTTTTTTATTTTATTTTATTATTATTTTTTTTTTTTTTTTTTTTTTTTTTTTTAACCCCTCTG